TGATCAGAATGGGAAAGAAAGGTGATTGATCAGAATGGGAAAGAAAGGTGATTGATCAGAATGGACAAAGTCAGAAGTCACACAACACCAGGTTATATTCCAACAAGTTTATTTGAAATCACAAGCTTTTGGGGCATTGCTCCTTCGTCAAATAGGGCCTGTTAGACTATAACGTGGTGTCGTGTGATTTCTGACTTTGTCCACCCCAGTCCAACACCAGCACCATGACCAGAATGGAAGCAGTCATCAAGGCAGACCATGATGGAGCAGCTCTTGGGAGGGAGTTTCAAGGCCAAATTAGCAGAAGTAAAGAATTATGATCCTTTGTGAAGCTTTATAAGGTTTGATGACCCACCTTGTCATTAATGTCTGGGGGAAATTGCTGAGAAATCCATGGGATTGAACTTGATCACATTTGCTATTCGATATGCACCTTGGGGTTTTCAGTCACATATTACCCATATTTGCCACATGTTAATTTTGCATGTTAGAATATAAGTGAACAGTAACTTTTATTTACAAAGCAGACAAAAAGCTTACAATCAGAATAAAGCACAAGGTTCCATGGTTTTGGACAGACAACAATAAATTTTACTATTACTTGAAACAATTGACCAAGATTAGAATTCATGAATTAATCAAAGGAGAAAAACATGTAGATTGTTACTGCTCTTTCATGTCCATGCTGACCAGGTTTCCTAAACTAAACTAGTCCCATCTGCCTGTGTTTGGCCCATACCCCCCAGAAACCTTTCCTATCCATATACCTGTCCAAATGTCTTAAATGTTATAATTGTACCTGCCTCTACTACTTCCTCTGGCATATACACACCACTCTCTGCGTGAAGAAGTTGTCCCTCAAGTCCCGTTTAAATCTTTCCCTTCTCACCTTAAACCTATCCCTCTAGTTTTTCTCCTTTGATTAATTCATGAATTCTAATCTTGGTCAATTGTTTCAAGTAATAGTAAAATTTATTGTTGTCTGTCCAAAACCATGGAATCTTGTGCTTTATTCTGATTGTGAGCTTTTTGTCTGCTTTGTAAATAAAAGTTACTGTTCATTAGCCAGATTATAACATGAAGGTGACAATCTAGTCCAGGATTAAAGACAAAGAACCTGGGGCCATCCATTGCATTGCAGGTAAATCAGCGCTGCCTGTTGTTTTGCATAGTTGCTGTCTGCAGTCAGCGTTCCCTGCAATGGTTATCAGCTGCACATATTGGATATTGCTCATGGTCTGTGTCACTTAAAGTTGACTTGCACTATCTTAAAGGAGAGCTGCAACAGAATACCAGTGGTCAGGCACACTCAAACCTCTTTACTGAGTTGGTGACTTGGACTCTATCCATTGAAGTGTGCGCACCCATTGTGGACCATATTTCCGAATTTTTGTAGGCAATCTAGCTCTTAGTAAGTGACTGCTAAACATTCTCAACTTAGCAAACAAATACTTTGATGTCTCCTGTTATCTTTAGGTATTATAATTAGTGATGTCAGGCAGTCACATCAGAGCAAACTCATTCCAATAATGTTACTCCTGATTGATGAATGCAATATCATATGTGTTTGTGTGAAAGTATTGAACAGCAAAGTCCCTGTACGTTTCTCATTGATTGTCTTTATGCTGCAGCTAACAGACCCAAGATTGGTGAGAGTCCAGTTTATGACACATTCAGGCCAGAGTACAATCCAGGACAGCAACAGTTGATCCATCTGCAAGAACTGGTCAAGAAGGGAGTTCTCACTGTCAATGAAGCTCAGGAAAGGTTTAAACAATGGCAGATTGAAGAGAAGGATCAGGATGCTGTACAACAGGTCCAGAATAAAATTTGTACAATAATCCAGTAAACAGTGTTCCCAACACTTGCCTTTGTGTTACCTAAATGACTTGTAATTCTTGATGTTAATCAAGCTGGGTCCTTTCTATGGCAAACCGAATACTGAGGAGTAACCTTATGGAGTTTGTTAAAATTGTGAATTGTGAGGTTTTTGGAATTTTGACAGGGTAGACAAAGACATTTCCATATAAGGGCCACAAATATGACAGTCACTAATAAATCCAGTCAAGTATTCAGGATAACTTCTTCCAGAGAGAGATGAGAATATGGAATTTGTGCCCAAAGGGAGTAGTTGAGGTGAATTGTGTCAATGTATTTCAGGGGAAACTGGATAAACACATGAGTGAAAAGAACAGGAGGTTATGATGAAGATGAGGTGGCTGCAAGCTTCTGTGGAGCATAAACCTCAGCACAAACCAGATGTTGCTGTCATCTGAATAACATGTAATTCTACACAGATGAAGTTAAAATGCTAAGAGTGCATCCTCATTATTACAAGCCTTGAATGCCTCCCATTGTTGCCCCAATAATAGCTCATCGGGCAAAAACAATGCAACTATCACCCTAACACTAGGCTTGTCTGCTCTTATCAACAAGTGGATTCTCCTTCACATTAACAGTGCATTCAGCAGCAAAAGTAGCATTCAGCATGTCGGTTGTCTGTCACCATTCTCTGATCCCTGGATTATTCTGACACTCTAATGAGATCCCCCAATCTCTCCAATCACCCTCAGCAAGATCACAATACGCATCACCGATGAAGTGTTAGTATTAATCTGCATTCCCAAGTAAAGAGTTCACGCAAGTGCAACATTTCAGTCTTTGTAAATTGTTTGATCCTTTATCAGTGAGTAAGAGCAATCCAACCAGAAAGTATTGAAGGTATGTTTTCATCAGTTGTGCTGATCTTCATAAATTATTTGTGAGTATTGTCCAGCTGAGAGGCAGATGCCTGTTCTTGTCGGGTTTTCTATCCTCTCCACAGAATCCACAAATAAAAATCTCCACTTATTGTTTTCATAATCAAATCCGCAGAAATCTAAAAAGGTAAAAGAGCTTCACATTAATACAAGGAATCAGAGATAAAACTTTATCTGAAATTAGCTAAAAAAAACTTCAGTGTTTTTCTTTTTATAATTACAACAGCAAGTCTGATTATCTGCAATATTTAATCAATATATCAACTTGCAAGATGTACTTACTTGACTCATTTTATTCAATGACTCAGTCTTTCAATTTGTTCTCTTTATTTGTCACTCCCACGCATGAATGTTTGAAGGTGGGTGTAATTTACTGATGAATAATAACTTCCTTGATAAGAAACTTTGTGCAGTGTTTAAATGCTCCTGCAAAATTTCAAGCAACATTTAAACACAATAGAAGGATTCCCTTGCAGTCTGAGATAATAGAGAGTATTCCCAGGGAATGAGGGAAACTCAATGCACTGAAGAAGGAACAAACAAAAAAACAGAAAACAGAAAAGATAGAAAATAAAAGAGGCTGAGGAAGCAGCTCATCCTATATTCCAATACCAACACGCACAACTGTTCCCAGTGTAAAATCATTCAAGTACAAATTAGAGGTTTATTTAAATAGAAACAGAATGCAGGATTATGAGGAAAGGGGTAGAAGGTTGACACTGAGTCATGATATTCATTCAAGATTTGATGCAGATGCGAAGAACATAGGACATAGAACAGTACAACACAGTACAGGCTCTTCGTCCCACGATGTTGTGCTGACTATTATCCTACTCTAAGATCAACTACCCTGCATACCCCATATTTTACTATCATCCATGTGCCTATCTAAGAGTCGCTTAAATGCTCCTAAAGTATCTGACTCCACTACCACTGCCGGCAGCACATTCCACACGCCCACCACTCTCTGTGTAAAGAACCTACCTCTGACATCTCCCCTATACCTTACCCCAATCACCTTAAAATTATGCTCCCTCGTAATAGTCATTTCCACCCTGAGAAAAAGTCTCTGACTATCCACTCTATCTATGCCTCTCATCATCTTGTACACCTCTATCAAGCCACCTCTCATCCTTCTTCGCTCCAATGAGAAAAGCCCGAGCTCCCTCAACCTTTCCTCATAAGACCTGCCCTCCAGTCCTGGCAGCATCCTGGTAAATCCCCTCTGCACCCTCTCTAAAACTTCCACATCCTTCCTTTAATGAGGTGACCAGAACTGAACACAATATTCCAAGTATGGTCTTACCAGAGTTTTATAGAGCTGCAGCATAACCTCGCAGCTCTTAAACTCAATTCCCCTGCCAATGAAAGCCAACACAATGTACGCCTTCTTAACAACCCAATCAACTTGGATAGCAAATTTGAGGGATGTATGGACGTAGACCCCAAGATCCCTCTGTTCCTCCACACTGCCGAGAATCCTGCCATTAACCCTGTATTCTGCATTCAAATTCGACCTTCCAAAATGAATCACTTCACACTTTTCCAGGTTGAATTCCATCTGCCACTTCTTTGCCCAGCTCTGCATCCTGTCAATGTCCCATTGCAACCTACAACAGCCCTCCACACTATCCACAACTCCACCAACCTTCGTGTCATTGGCAAACTTACTAACCCACCCTTCCACTTCCTCAGCCAAGTCATTTATAAAGATCACAAAGACCAGAGGTCCCAGAACAGATTCCTGTGGAACACCATTGCTCACTGACCTCCAAGCTGAATACTTTCCATCTACTACCACCCTCTGTCTTCTATTGGACAGCTAGTTCTGTATCCAGACAGCCAAATTTCCCTGAATCCCATGCCTCCTTACTTTCTGAATGAGCCTACCATGTGGAACCTTATCAAATGCCTTGCTAAAATCCCTATACAACACATCCACTGCTCGACCTTCAATGTGTTTTGTCACATTCTCAAAGAATTCAATAAGGCTTGTGAGGCCTGACCTGCCCCTTACAAATCCATGCTGACTATTTCTAATCATCTGTGCTTTTCCAAATAATCATAAATATTATCTCTCAGAATCCTCTCCAATAATTTACCCACCACAGAAGTAGAACTGATTTGTCTGTAATTGAACAGGGAATGACATTTGCCACCCTCCAATCATCCGGTACTACTCCAGTGGACAGTGAGGATGCAAAGATCATTGCCAAAGTGGCAGCAATCTCTTCCCTTGCTTCCCGTAGTAACCTTGGGTATATCCCGTCTGGCCCAGGGGACTTATCTATCCTGAGATAGTAGGAACTGCAGATGCTGGTGAATCCGAGACAACAAGGTGCAGGGCTGGATGAACACAGCAGGCCAAGCAGCATCATAGGAGCAGAGAGGCTGACGTTTCAGGCCTAGACCCTTCATCAGAAAAGCATCAGAAAAGATCCTTTTCTGATGAAG